TTTTATATTCATTCATGCCTCCACTGTTCTCCTGACTCCTTAGCCATCAAAATACAGGTGATAGTTTATTTCTTTTTTGGCATGATTGTTTTTAAATTACAGTAGACCACTCACACTAGTAGCACTCAAGATGGCTTTACATCGATCCAGCAGTACATCAGTAAGACCAGATGATATCCATTATAAGACACTACACCATCTCTTCTCTGCTTCTTTTAGTCATCTTCTGACTGTTTTCAATTGACCTAGGAAGAAGAAACATTTTGAATTTTATAGCATCAAGCTATTATTATTCCTTTTTCAAGATTCCTTCTAGTTATATATTGCTTTGTCTAGCTGTCTGTGTAAGATTTTGGAAAAGATGGTTAATGCTTGTCTTGTTTGGTTCCTCAAATTAATATCCTGTCTAATACCCAGTGCTGATTTTTCATTCTATGATTTACCATGAACTACTTGATTTGACACCAGAGAAGCCTTTCTTAAGAGGAACCATCAGTTTTCTGTATATATATATATATATATTATCATAAACAGGCTTATAACACCATGTAAGGTTCAGAATTTTATGTAATCTCCATTATTATAGGTTGTGTGACCATTTGCTCATTTTTATTTATAACTTTTTAAGAAAAAGATCATTCTGAGCCCAGTTGGAATCAACACTATCCTGTACCTATAGCAGAAGCTTGAAGTACTTCATGGCTGTATACAGAGTGTCACCCTTTTTGCATTAATACCAATGCCATTTCTAAACAACTTCCTCTAACAATTGCAAACAGCTTCTGTGTTGATGAATTTCAGATTTCATGTCAGTTGTTGAATATGAACATTATCTCTAATCAGCCCTGCAAGTGGTTTTCAATTTTCACCATCCAAAACTGATTGTGTGCACATTTTCTACCAGTCAGGTTTGCATCCTGATCATAACTCCATTTAAGAGGTGCATAGATTCTTGTGGTAAATGATATTTTATTCTTTGAACTTCTATTTGATAATAAATTTATTTTCTGTTCTACAAATAAAGCAGCCAAGTGTACAAGAGCATTGAACATACTCTGCTTCTTCTCATTCATCTTTTGGGGAGTGAATAAATGCTGTATGTTCAAGATCCATTGTGCTAATATTGAATGTAAGCTAGATTAATGGTCTCAATTTTGGCTCTGCACAGTGGGCTTTCAGTGCTTCTCCAGCCCATAACTTACATATATTGTTTTCAACAGCCACTTCCCATTTTATAGTTACAACTATCTTTGCAGTATGCTGTGAAACTTCAACCACTGCCACAGCATTCCACCTCTCAATGTGCCTTCATATCCTGGTGGGCTTTGCTCTTTGGCCTTCATATACAGAGTTGAATGAGATTGGCTTGACATTGGAGACAATGCCTAACCTGAACATCATTCACTACCATCCACCTGATATCTTTCTTTGAATATGAGGGCAATGTAACACGTGTCACCATTTCCCACATTTTACTTTTATGCCATTACTATTCTATTCAACAGCAACACCATTTTAGAAATGTTTAGGCCCATGGTGTCTATTTAACATTGGGAATTTTTGGGGGAAATGATTACACTCCAACTTCAATTTATTTAATTTTTGAACTGTACTGTAAAAGAAAAGTCCAATATATTGTCTTAATTTTATCTTGAATGTTTCCTCTTTTTGTTTATTGTTCTAGTACTTCTATATGAATAGATATGTGATAAAATAATTTGTTAAAATTCCCCTCTTTTTTTTTTTTTTGCTACTCTAAAGAAAGACTGTTGAAACATTTGGCAGGTTTTTAACCTTTTGGTTTTAATGAAATTATTTTAACTTGTGTTTTAAACTAGTTTTTTTTTCATGTATCATTAAAAAGGTTTATAATGTTAACTACCCAGTCTTTTTAACTGTCCTTTACATTAGGTTTTTATATTGTATGCCACTCTTTTTTTAAAAATCAATCTTTCTTAAAATTTTCAAGTGTGTGTATATCTGGGACCATTGCTATCTAGCTCAAGCAACTTCATCATGAATATTAAAAGTTTTCTCCATCCAACCTTTCACCTTTCATGTTTTCTGCTGTATGGACTGGCAATTTACTATTATGAAATTGTCCTGACTATACCGCCCAGGAAACCACAGGGAAAGTTTGCAGGACATTTGAAGTTCCTTACATACTGGAATGTTGTAAGTTTTTATACATGCTTAATGATGCTTTACATTCAGAATTTACCTAATTTTTTGGCACCTTCTTGGAATTTATCCATAAAGAAGCAAAAAACATTCATTTATAAAGTCCATTTACAAATACAGTGTTTTAAATAGTTTGTTACAAGTTCAGTATGGTTTCATTTATAAGAAAAAACTTCAAAAATGGTGTCATATTTAGAAATTAAAGCAAACTTCTCATTAACAAACTCTTACAATTATTACATTTAAGAAATATAAATTTTTACTTTTAAAAGTATATTAGTCTGTTATTCAATGATGAAACTTGGTATTAAGAAATTATGACAAAACTTCCACCTCAATTTCTCTATTTATTGCTTTTTCTCACATTTATATGAAAAATGAATAACAAAAAAATTTTTTCTTATCATTACTACTAAGGTAATATTAACATTATTCAATCAAGATTTGATATTAATTTTGTATTAGTGATCACATTTTAACATTTATGTCCAATGTTTTACATACTCTGTCTTAATACTTTGCTTTCCTCTGTAATATAATACTTTGCAAAAGTATAATAAGAAAAAATTCAGTGTTTAGTATAATACTGCCAAGTTGCATAATTTCAACTTCAAAAACAGTCCAATGATCACAATCAATTATATTTTGCTACTTCAAACAAATTAAATCAGTTTTACTACTATATCAGGAATAACTGGATTCAGCCTTACTGGCCAAATGTAGTAACATTTATCAAGTCCTTGACTATCTATGGAATGAGTTTATAGTGTGTACAAAATATATGCTCTTTAATGTTTACGTTAGAAGATGATTCAAAAGATAAATGTTCACTAGTACAAGTTTTTCTCCTTTTCAGTTTATATTGTTTGACTAACAACTTCAATAAGGTCTTATTTTTAACCCAGAAAGATCTTTAAATCTATTTACCACCATCTATGCCATTTGAAAAAGTCTCTTTCAAAATTAATAGTTTCAAAACTTTGTATCTGTTTGGTTGAATAACTCGTTCAATATGTGATCTTTATCTATGATAAATTCATACATCTATGTAGCCAATTGATCTTTACTTGTTACAGGTTTAGGCATACAAACTGTAATATATTAGCTATTATGTGTACATATAGACTTGAAATAGGATATAATTAAATGTCATATACATTTTTATTACTAGCAAACAGTCTTGTTTGTATGTATTTTTTGTTCATTGTTTGAGGTGAGTGAAATATTGATCTTTTCTCTTCTCCAGATTTGATATTTTGACCTTTCCCTTCTTCAGATTCTTCAGTTTGTGGTGTTTGGTTTGTGTTTCATCTCTGATGTCATTCCAAAGAATTCTTTATTTGCATTTATGATCTTCAAGACATAGTAGTGTACTGAGCTAAGCCTTTAATCTTCAAATTTTGCAACTGCCAACTTTAAGATCTAGATCAAATCCACGAGGTTACATTGCTATTTTACTCTACAGTAGTTTACTTAGTGTCAAAAGGTATAAATTAGGTAGGGTAAATTCCAAGAAAAGAAATGAATTTTTTTTTAAATACATACATTCCCAACAGGAAGAGCCAATGATGTGAAAATAATGTCTTTGTATTTATCCAACGCCTCTTTAACTGTATCTTAAAATCATTTATTAACTTTTAATCAGAATTATTGCATTATAAGGTCGGGTGAAAAGCTAGTCAAGTCAGTGCTGAGAATGTAGTTATGACTTTTGCTATCAGCTGTATTCAAAATGTAAATATATTGACAATAAATTGAATGGTTACCTTGTCATAAGCTGTAGGCATATTAAGGAAATCAGAAATACAGGCCTCTTTGGAAAATAATTCTCAATTACATACTAAATATTATTGATTGAAGTTCTAAATTTTAAACTTCCTTCTCGTATAGGTCTTCAGAAAATTAACTCAGTGGTATGTGGACAAGTCCATAAGAAACTATTCTGACTTTGAAGCATTGTAACTGTATTTTAAAATATATAATTGGCAGTAACCAAAATAAAATGCTGTTTGTTTGTCACTAAGATGAAAAGTGTCCAGCTAAGATGATTTTTATTTTGTTTTATTATACTTTGAACCCAAAATGCCTAGATTTGTTGTAAGACACAAGCATTAACTCTAGTCTCATCTTATATTAAAACTGGTATTATTCTCTGTTTTCATTTAAAAGTTTTTCAAGAAGAAATGTCCATTTAGATATGTTCATATTTATTTTGGACTTGTTAGTGTTAAGCAGTATCTTTTTATTTGTGTAAAATATTGGTGCAAATCATAACTAATGACTGAATTTTAGGAATTTGGTACTACACTTCTATTTAAGTTCTAACTTTTCTTCTTTAATTTTGTAGTGTAGCCACTATTTTAAGCCCATGTATGAAGATTCTTCTTGTTTTGTTTATTCTTCTTGAATGGAACATGTGAAAACATTTCCATCGTGTGGGTAAAGTCGTATATCTGTATATAGTGATTACTTTGACTAAAATAAACTTCAAAATGCAATGTTTTTTAATGTTTGATTAGAACTTCTCTCAGGACTTTTAACATAGTAATATTTTCAACAAATTATCAGACCAGATTTTATGTTGTTATATTTTTTAACAAAATCTTTGCCTTTTTTACTAGGTAATTTCTGGAGAAATAGCTGTTCTAAAAAGTATGTCTAGATCTGTTATAACCTTTTAACATGATATTTTATATAAATGATTAGAATTTTTCTTTCCTATCAACACAGTTCTGATTAGGATTGCTCTAATTTTTCATCAACTGCAAGTAACAGGTTTGTATTTTCTGACTGATGACAAACTTTTTAATGTGAAATATTTCTTGTTGTAAAACTATTGTTCACTAAAAATGAAAAACGTTTTTCATCTTGGATCACAGTTTGTTGTAGCTGTCTTCTGGGTCCTGTATTTGATTGACAGAGAGCTGATTCTTCCTCGTGCTCTTGATGCTTTCTATCCAACATGGTTAAATCATGTGTCAGTAAGTAGCCTTACAAAGTATACTATAGTTTTAGAAAATACACTATCACAATAAGATATGCTCTTTATCTTTGAATACTGTCCTAAGTATCATTATAAATACAATGCAAGTTTGAAGAAATGTGTTTTGTTATAAAAATAGACTCTTTACATAGCATTACAAAATACTATCTTTATCCTCACAAAATGCATTCTAGCTTTAAGTATGTTATTTAGGCTTAGCAAGTATACTAATCTTATTCAAAACAACTGTGTCCTTATAGTGGGTACTTTGTACCTTTATATAGTTATGTCACTGGTTTTATAGAGATTGTGTGCAGGTTTTCAAAGAACATGTCTAACCTTCTCCTGTATATTATTAATCAGTGTATTCTATTGATTCCTTCTGAAAGGCTTAACAAGAGAAAATTATTTGGTTGAATCTTTTCTTTCTAATATTTGATGTGTCACATAATTAAAGTAAGCAGCAATAACAACAAGCTTGATTTCCATGTTATGGAAATCACCATCATAGATTTAATATTAACACATGGAAATCACCATCATATATTCAATATTAACACATGGAAATCACCATCATAGATTTAATATTAACACATTGAAATCACCATCATAGATTTAATATGAAAACATGGAAATCACCATCATAGATTTAATATTAACACATGGAAATCACCATCATAGATTTAATATGAAATGTTAATATTAAATCTATGATGGTGATTTCTATGTGTTAATATTACATCTCTGACAAGTATCATTATATGACAAGGATTGAGTGATGGATGTTGAGAGGGAAGAAAGCAGTTACTACAGGTAAAAGTGTTGTGAAGTATGTGTGCATTTAGTATACATTTTGAATAAACTTTAACACAAGAAGGTAGCAGATGAATGTAAGAGCATGCATTAACAACTATTAAATTTGTAGATATATCAAATTATTTTGTAAAAAAAAAATGTTACCAGTGATTTCAAATAACTTTTAATCCTATCATGATCAGGTGCACCTGAATATCAAATTTCAGAATGTTATTAAATATATTTCTAACTGTTTCAAGATTGTTTCCCCCAAAATATCTTAGACTTCATTTATAATTATATAATGTTCATGTAGTTTAATTCACAAAGAAAATTAACATAAGATTACCAATTATAATTTTTCTATAGCTCTGAGGAGTATGAATATTGACTTTAAAAGTAGTTGAGAGTCAATGACTAAAAGCAATTGCATAGAAGAAATGCTAGTTAATTTAGCAGTAATTTGTGTTTTTTTATATATTGGTCACTCCAAACTTCTGTAAGGATGAACAAAGAATTATAATATTGAAGTTTACAATACTTAGAGACAAACCAGAGATCTGGGAATTTGTTAATAGTTTCTTTTGTCACTACTTTCATCTATGACAAGATATGCAAATTTAATTAAGGTTAGGAAAGTATAAGGTAAGCAGTGGGAAACTACATATTACTCAAGTCTTTTTTTTATTGAATATTATTATTAATTCTTCATATATCACAACAAACACAAATAGAAACCTTTTTTTTAAAACAACCTATATTTATTAGGTACAAATTGAGTGCAATGTAAAAAACATTTGACAAAAATCATGGTATCTAAATGACAAAGGTAACTGTGATGACATTTTGAAAGGTGCTGTCCTATGTCATTGATAAATATTTATCTCTTATATCACAACAAACACAAATAGAAACATATTTTTAAAACAACCTATATTTATTAGGTACAAATTGAGTGCAATGTAAAAAACATTTGACAAAAATCATGGTATCTAAATGACAAAGGTAACTGTGATGACATTTTGAAAGGTGCTGTCCTATGTCATTGATAAATATTTATCTCTTATATCACAACAAACACAAATAGAAACATATTTTTTAAAACAACCTATATTTATTAGGTACAAATTGAGTGCAATGTAAAAAACATTTGACAAAAATCATGGTATCTAAATGACAAAGGTAACTGTGATGACATTTTGAAAGGTGCTGTCCTATGTCATTGATAAATATTTATCTCTTATATCACAACAAACACAAATAGAAACATATTTTTTAAAACAACCTATATTTATTAGGTACAAATTGAGTGCAATGTAAAATATGTTTGACAAAAATCATGGTATCTAAATGACAAAGGTAACTGTGATGAAGGTGCAGTCCTATGTCATTGATAAATATTTATCTTTTTATGATTTACAGCCAGAAGTTGTGACTGCTTCAGTAAACAAAATTAAGTATAAAAAGAAATATATTAACTCTTTCAGTACGGGCTCCATCCCTGGGACTGGCTGACCTTGTAACAATTTAGTGCTTGTCATAGTTTTTCATGCTATAACTTTTTAAATGAAGTGACTGTTAACGAAATTTGGCAGATTATCAGTAAACATTACAATGCTTTCATATGCAAAATATCAATTTTTTTTTTATTAAGTCTTGTACTACAATACTTTTCTCATGTCTTTTTTTTTTCCGCATGTTGCCTTTCTATCATGCAAAGTGATATTCATTTTAAAATTAAAAGTACTTTTATGCATCACAAAATTTTGAAATTGCACTCAGACATTTAGTGAAAATATGTTATTAAAGAATTTGCCTTTTTGTGTACAACAAACACATAATGTTTACTAAATGCTTACCAAACTTTATGAATATACATTTAGTAAATTAAAAATATGCATTTTAACTTCATATAGTACACTCTACTCCCACAAAGAATATTTTTTGTTTTTGCTAAATATCTTCCTTATGATTTTGAAGAACACTATAAGCTTATAAAAATACATTCAATAGTCCTTTAGAAGTCTGTTTTGTAACATTATAAATATCTTCTGACCCCTTGTAACCTTTTTATTGGGGAGTAAGCTCTGTTGCCCAAAAGGCTATTCTGTATCTATGGTAAAATGTGCTAATTAGCATTTGTTTCTGCTCTAAAAACATATAAAACAACTTTTGTATGCTTATAGATGAATGATGTAGCTTTACAAAGTGGCTTATATATATATATATATCTTAAAAACCTCTGAAAGTATAAGACCTTTCAAAATGCACTGCTTATTTTATGAAGTATGCCTTGCTTCTTTGTTACAAAATGTTCTTTCTTTGAAGAAATCACTAAATTAAAGAATGTTGTATTATTTGACAAACCAAATTTGTGCATCCTCCTGTAAAGAATATATTTTTGTGCAGTTACTCTAAATCTAGAAAAAAATTACATTCAAGAGTTTTAGTACAGTTCAAATATTTCATAACTTTCTGTTGTAGTCATCTTAATGGAAAGTTTGTAGGTAGTTTTGACACATTATATCAAAAAAAAAATGAAAAGTTTTTCCTTGGTTTTAATGATTGTGAAAAACTGCACATTTAAACTATGAATATTCCATCCTAAATTAGAATTTAGCTCTATTGTATCATATCTGAAAAAAACCCAGATATTATGCCATTTTTTAAAATTTCCTGGATAAGTACAACATATAGCTTTTGCTTTATAGTTGAATATATTATTATCAAGGTTGTTTGTTGTTTTTTTTTTCACATCATAATGAATCAAAGGCAATCATTGCTCAATTTTCAAATAATACTCAAGCAAATACTTTAAAGTTGTTCATACTATAGTTAATTAATTTTCAAACAAAAGTTTTTGAATTCACCATCACTCTTTTAACATATTCTCCTGAAGAAGAATAACGAACTAATCGAAAGCGCTCGAGTTTGGGATCTCTTTTTTTTTCCCCAAAAAAAGTTTTTAATAATGCTGCCCAATTACCATAAGATTGTGCATAAGATGGAGTGTTTCTGATTTGAGCAAGTTTAATAGCATCACTTGCAACTAGCCTACTATATGTTCTAGTCTTCTGACCAAGACTTGATGTGAATTTAAGTAATTTCCATTAAAAGCAATGACTTTTAGTCTGCATACTCTGATAAGATACATTCTGGGAAATGTTTTTTCTGCTTTACTTTCAGTTTATTTAAAGCCCTCAACTAAGTATGCAGAAGTTTTGTTTCAGACCATGTAAATTCTTGAGTTTCCTGTAAAAATTACTTTGGAAATGTAGCTTACTTTGTTCTTAGATGATACTATTAATTTTAATGGTGCTTTATTTAGGGACATTTACTATAGAAGTTACTTGATAGTGCATCAATATTTACTCTCCTGGACAAAAATGTGCTAAAGTAATCCATAATTCAAAAATTTTGATACCCATTTTACTACATGACTTCAATAATTCTGTAAACTAATTAATGATGTCAGTGCTGTATAGATTTAGTGTTTGCTGCAAGTCTTCACATTCTTTATATTAAAAGTTAAAAAAGAGTAGTAATATAATTCACATTTCTCTTGTTTGTGCTTTTATTCTGTTACTCTACCAAACATTTAGTGAAATACTGTATAATTTGTGAAGTTACTAAGGTAGATTAAAGGTAATGGTAGTTCATGTGGCATTAAATCACAATAAGACTGATAACAATTTTTACAAATTGGTTTGATTGAGATGCTATTTATTTTTTCTAACAGGAAAACTCTTAGTACAGTGCCAATAAAGAAGTATTTGTAAAAAATTATCACTTATTCTGATGTTATGTAACACTAATTATCAATCAGTAGATCATGCTGTTTACCGTAAAAATAGGCTATGGTAATAGTTTCCAAATTATATGTTACGACACACTGGAACATTGCAGCAAGTTACTAGTGATGTTGTAAGTTTCACCAAACAAAAAATAATTAAGAACATAAAAAAACTACAAGAAATACATTACATGTGGCAGTTAGGGGTGTCACACGAATCAAGGTAAGTGGGTTGAGGTGTCTTCAATGAAAAAAGTTTGGAAACCACTGGGCTCTGGTATTTTAATTAGAACACAGTCATCTTTTTGCAAGTGCAGTTTTTCTTGCAACTTTTGTTGATTACATCTACCTGCCAATATTCATGCCTCAAATTCAAAGCTAAATAACATGTGGAATTAGATATACCATCAGTAGTCAAACATTTTAAGGTGATACAGTCATCTTTGAAGCTTTCTCATTAATGTAAACCATGCAGAAGCTAGCTCTTTTACGAGTATAATGGGTGATGTTTAAGATCTGTTAACTCTTTGCGAGTGACTTTGTCCATTGAACTGACTTCCAGAACTGTGAATCTCTACATACTAGAACTCCAAATTTACAAAGCATATCTCCACTAAATTTGGCAAACTAGGTTTTTTAATAAATTATTTCTACTAAAGATTTGTCTGAATTTTTAAACCTTACTGAGCCTATCTTTGTGAAACTTCACTGAAAGGTGATTTTCATGATCAACATAAAAATACTAATTTTCCTCTTACACTTCACATATTTCATTTTCTTAATCATTAGATGAATATCTAAATGAATATCAATGATTTTTTTCATATGATGATTATTTATTGTATCTCATTTTCTCTAGCCTAACACTAGCAGCATACTTGATTCTTAGGTCTGAAAGCATCAGTGTACTGTTGAAAAATGTGAAATAAGATGAGTAATACAATTTTTTCCTCTGACCTAACTGCATTATTTATCAGTAAAATCCATATTACTTAACAGTTTCAACTGTGGTTTTATTGCAGTACATTATACTCACTGGAGAAGTCATTTTCACATCCACAAAGCAATAAATTGTAATTGGAGTCATTAGCTGTTTCTGGTAGATCATAGTATAAAAAGTACAAACATTGATTAGCTCAAGTTTGGGGAATTTTAAATGCTTTATTTTACTCGAGTTTTGCTACACTAAGCTGAACAATTTGTAATTTTTACATTTTAGCTATTTTGTTGAAAATATATATAACATAAACAAAAAACATACATAAAAAAACGTATGAAGTAGTCACTCTTTTTTTGTACTCGAAGACCTTTTTCGTTAAGCCTCATCAAGTCTCAGAAATTTGAGTATACAAACAATAATTCATGTAGTTTTCAAATATGCATTTTAGAATATATATCAGTCACAAGAATATTAAATAGGTTAAAAATGTTTTGATTGTATAGAGCAGCAATATGATCACAACAAACTAACGATTTCCTAGTGCTTGACTATTGTTCCTGCCAAAACTAAACAAACCATATTAAGTGTCATATAGAGTAGAATTTTTTCTTTCTGTTTGTCGAAAACATGTCTATGCTTTGTAAAGCTCATTAGTAAAAAATCTTGAATGTCAGAGGGGAGGCTTCTCTGGTAGGTTTGATGAATTTATTGATATTCAGCAAGTCAAGAAGGTTGGAGGAGCAAATTTTAGATTCTTGCTTGTATTTATGTATAAGTTGTGTTTATACTTGGTTAGAAACTACAACACCTATTTTTGAAGTTAGAAAATTCAAAAGTGCAGAAATTGGAGATCTGGTGCATCACTTGACACAGAAAAATGAAAATTGACATTTTGATTATAAACTGCAGTTTCATTTCAAGTTTATTGATATAACTTGATAATAAAGTTGTTTTTAATTGAATTTTGAATGTAATACTGTGAAGGTCATGACTTGCATGGAAGGGCCACCTTCATACACGTAAGCTTAAATGTCCCTAATACTTCTTATTTCATAACTTTCTATCTCCTTGAAAAAATGTTCTTACTTGGCAGTAAGTAGCTCTCTGTTTCTTGATAATTGATCCCAATATTTAATGTCAGTTTAAAGGCACACTTTAATTATGATTATTATTTTTCATTCATGCAGAATCATATAGCGATTTACATCAGACTATTTTAGTACATCTTCAGGAAGACAATATGGTTTCCTTTCATGATCTCTATTTTTCTTATATAACATTCCTTTCACTGTCTCAGCTTTTAAAGTTTGTTTTCATTTTTGTTTTATGGTCATTCACATTTTGCAACTTTTACAAGTTCTTATTATCATTATTAATACTAGAATATCCTCCCATCTGAGACCTTGCAGATAAAATTATGCATATCTTTGTGGAACAATTCCTCAAACATTAACTTTGAATTTAATCAACATGCTATTTGGCTCTCCAGTTTTGATTTCACTAACTCGTGAATAGATCATCTTTCACATCAAGCTTTTCTTTAGCATTAAAACCGTAAAAATTTATTTCAAGTGAATATTGCCATTGCAATTCAACTAATTAATATTTAATTAAGGGACATTACTTGTATCAATTGTATTTCTTCTTTTCTGTCCTTGTGTTTTTTGAAGAACTTCCGATACAATCTTGTAAACATCTCTTTTGGGACCTTGGACCATATTGTACCTTTGTTATAATCACAGATTTTGTATTCTAGTTACATGTAATTACAACAACATTATTCTTAAAGTTTGCCATGAAATGTTAGTATTTTCAGTGTCTTACTGAATATCTCATGTGACCTTTCATTTTGTTATTATTTTGTTCTTTATTGCCTTTCTATGTGGTTCTCAATACCTTTTTACTTAAAAAAATACAAGTTTTCCTTTTTATCTAATTGATATTTTTTCAAACATTCATCTATTATAACCTGTCCGTCCCTTTTCTCCTTTGATGAAACATAATGTGGCAAATTAAGTATATTCTGCATTGATTGGCAGATTACACTGACTTGTTGAGATTATTAATCAATTTATTTGAGAAGTTCATCTACACTGTCAGTTATTGCACAAATTGTACTTAATATATTACTGGGTAACAAAAATTAACAATTTTTACAACAACTGACAATCTTATGCTAAATGTTCCTGAGCTATAAAGCTGAGCCTGTTTTACGTAAGTTGCTGATAATAAACACTAAGTAACAAGTTTTCTAAATTTAAATCTGAACTCTGGCTGATTACTTATTACCTTCTCTATCTATAAGCATACTAACATCATAACATTTCATGAGTGTTTTTTTCAACTGGAACAATCTCATTTAGACAAGCATCGCCAAGAAACTATCATCATAAGCCAGGTGGAAATGACTGTCTGTCAATCTTTTAAAATATAAGCTCAAATTTATCAGTGATTGTTTATTCTACAAAATCATTTAACATATATATTTATATTAGTTTTTCACTTAAATGTATTTTTATAATGACAGCTTTTGCATGTCAGTGCACAAGAGCACTGCAAGTCAGTGATATATTTATCTGTCAAAAAACAAATTCTTTATGGTCCAAATTTGTCAGTCAGTGGCTTGATGGATTGTCACTAGTGTTTTTACTTGTATGTATGATAAAAGCAACTTCTGGCTTAAGTCAATAAAACATATAGCACCATAAGTTTTCAAACAAATTTTCTATGTTTTATCTGAAAAAAAAAAGGAATTAGAATCCATAAAAAAGTGTTTATTATTACAATAGATGTTTCTCTCAATTTATGAACTTAAGTAAATGTGCTATTTGTGTTTTTCTTGTGCTGACTGTTTCAGGAATTAACTACACGTGTTCTTTCATGTGCTATCTAAAACTCGTTTCCTTTCGGCTACATGGATTTGAAGATATTTTTTGTATATACAGTGTTTTTCTCTGCCAGTGTGTTTGTCAAACTAAAGTTCTGGTGTTAGTAAACCTTTCAAAAAAGTTTTATTAAGTACTTTTTTTTGCTTTAAGTCTGTAATTGATACTTTGAGGGTAAGTAGTATATTTTCATCACATTTAAAATTATTCTTTGATTTTGTTATTCTCTGCCAGTACAAAAGAAAAATAAATTACAATTTTGATGTTATTAGACTATTCAGAGATATGTGTGTATATACATACACACACACACACACATATATATATATATATATATATAGTTGTTTGTTTTTTTCTTTCTTTAAATTTGTGTTACCATAAGTTGATTATTTCAATTGTGGCTATAACCAAAAAAATTCTATCTAACTGTTTAAAATTATCAAATTATGAAAATAAAAGTGTGGAATACAATAAAATTTACTGTTAGTAAATACTGAAAGCATTCCCAGTTTTTACCGTATATACATAGTGTAATTTTTCATTATTATTCTTTAATTTGGCAGTACAAAAAAAAATCACCCAGTTAAGTAATATATTTTCACAATCTATGTATCTAAGACTGTATCTTAAAAGTAAAGCTTTTGTAGTGATGATAAAGAATTATTATCTTGACTGAACTATTATTTCTTCTTTTTTATAGCATACAACCATCTTTCCATTGCTACTGACTGAAATCTGGCTTTGTCATCACCCTCACCCCCCTCGTAAGATAGGCATGACCACTCTTATCTCCTTTGTTGCTGTTTACTTAACATGGTAAAATTGTATTTACTTATAAATTAGATGGTGTTGTAATCCAGGATAAGAATTCGTATCCTCAGACTAATCTGTCTTTTTATTGATAGGAAAAGAAAATGATGAAATTCATAAGATAGGACTTCCTCGGGCTAGTTTTCTATATGCCTATTAGATAAGAAAGTAAACCAGAAATTCATGAAACTCACAAAAGAAATTAACTTTTAGAGTCTAATTCCATCTTCACTTAAAAAGAAAAGGTGAACAAGAATTGACTAAAGAACATAAGTGGATTGAATTCCATTTCCTTAGGTGAAAATATATAAGCTATTTTCTCAAGTAATTCATTTCCTGTAATATTTGAAACAGACTTAAAACAAAGATATGATACCCTATAACTTGAGCACTTTCGAAAGGTGGGCCTTTCAAAAGTGCTCGGGTTATAGGGTATTGTATCCTTAGGTTAAATTGACTTCTTGAACGAGTTTTTTTCTGACATCGTGAATCAAACAGACTTAATTTATCTTTGTTTGTTTAATAAAGATCAGAGTTAAATAAAGACTAGCATAAAAATACTTTGTTAAATAATTGCCCAATTTATTTTGAAAGAGGAAGCCCATTTAAATGTGAATAAATAATGGGTATTTGCCATTCTCAGCTAACTTGATTTACTAAACAAAATGTATGATGTTACATTGTTTTCACAGGATGTACAAAATAATTACGTAATCACACATGTGCTTAGTTAACAGAGATGTATAAACTTGTATAAAAACTAAATATGATTTTGTTGTGTTAGGATTACTAAATGCTGACATTTTCTCTTGTCAGGGTGGTCTCTCTCTCAATAGCATTGGATTTTTGGGTGTATCCTATTTTGGAGGTGTTGAACTGGAGCCTGCGTGTAGCTTTCTTTATTGGCTGTGGCATTATCATGGTACTGTTTTATTTACTAGGTGAATCCTTGAACAGTGCTGTATGGAGTAAGTAAAACCTTCATTTTCAATTTTAGTTACATATATACAGGGTGTGGCAAAAGTTGCTATAGTAATTTTTTTCCAACCCGATGTATATATATATATATGTACACACACGCATATACACACATTAGAGGTTGGCATAGGTAGAAAATCTGGAAACAAGTACTCCATCTGAAAAATACCCAGTCCTGGTAATAAAAAATATAACAAATGTGCTTTACACTGATCATGAATAGTAATCTTTTAAATGCATAATACACAGTTAAATACACACAAGTTTCCCTCTTCAGATCTGTAGGCTTGTGTAGCCTCTTTTAGTACTGAAAACGATGTTTGAACCTTACTATTATTACACTTTCCAGGGTTCCATGCTTGAAAGTGCACTGATGTCATATTGTATTTTCTTCTAATTGTCAAATTAGTAGTTGATACCCAGATAGTAAAAAAGAGAACCATAGTCAGGTTGAATAATTATAACATGTATATATATATATATTTACACACACACAGATTTTTATTTACTTTTCCTAGAGACAAAAAAAATACATTTCAAATGTGAGTTTGTTGTTATTGTACATATTTATATGGGAAAATAAATGGCTTAAAAATCAGTAAATATCTATTAGAATTTTTTGACATATTTTATTATTGAATATAAATGTTTTTGCAGCTTTTTGTACATTCAAATCACCACTTTGTCATCACCTTTCCATTCTTCGTAAATGATTTAGCTGTTAGCCAATGTCATGAGACAGGTATATGTCTGGAATTTTCTTAACTAATTAATCAACATAAAATATAAACTGGTTGGTCCATATGAATATCTTGTATTACGATTTGAAATGTGTTAAACAAGACAAGTTCCTGATAGACTTGTCCAGCTCAGGAATTTAATAAAATATTTATTACACTTGTATAATCATCTGTGAACATCAACAGACTCTTAGATATGTAGAAAAGGTGTTTTAACTTCTTTGTAAACATTTAAAGTTAAAATGTAGTTAAGTATACTGCATTTTCAACATCATATATAACCGTTCGTGACAGATTGATAAAAGTTCTTGTTTTGTTGCTTTAACACAGTTGTTTCTGTATTGTGAATTTCCTTAAACTTTTTATATACTAAGAGTTTTGAATTTTTCACTATTACTTAACTTTCTTTTTGGTCACTGATGTGTTTTTATTTTATTTCAGGATCTTTTGCAGGAGCTGAGGAAAAAAAGAAAAAGTAGATTGCTTAGTTTCCTGTATAAGAGTTGAATCAAGACAACTAAATGTAAAAACAAATGTTTGTTAGTCAAGACATCCAAGTAATTTTCAGATTTCCAATGACCATTCTATGATCTTATAGTGGTAATCTAGTGGAATCTGCAATAATTGTTATTACTTAATTGTTATGTATTTTTATATACAGTTCCACAGTGTTTATTACACTAATAATTTTTTTACCTATCAGTAGGTTTGCACTGATAGCTCTCATGTTATAGAGTTGGATTTTCTCATGTTTTTATAGATAAATCCAGGTAGAAGCAAAACTGGATTTACTATTAGTTCAAAGTTATGGAATTTTATATATAATTTTTACATACAAATATAGATTTTGAATTTAGTTGGTGATGGATTTTATGCTATTCACGATATATAATTCCTTGATTTTGAAAGCTCAAATCTAGTGGAAACAAAAAATTTTTAGTGGTTTAAATTTTTATATAACAGTTTACGTTGCTCACTGTCAATATTAGATTTTGTACTTAATTATCAGTGGGTTAGACTAATATCCATCTTATACAATAAATTTCCCACTTTCATTGGTGTTCACGTTTTGCTTCTTTTTTTTTTATACAGCTTTTAATACAACATAGTCAAACTTGTGTATAGAATCTCCAGTGTTTTTCATTGAATTTTCCTTCATTTTAAGATTAGGATTAGATCCTTTACAACAACTTGTGAAACCATCTAAAAAAGATTTATAAGCAATCAAAGAAGTATCAAGCATACTTAATTGAATAAGTAGAGTTGTTTAAACATTTGTTTAACAACAAGTAAAAGCTTAGA